TCAACTTTTAGAGTTGATAGACCTAATCGAAACCTCGCATGCATTTAACTCTAATATAAATATATGTACGCTTAGGACTAATGAACCTATTATTAAGGTGCATAGTAGGACTAATAAAAACGACTGGTCTTAGGGTCTGTTTGGTTCGCCTAGTAGCTACTAAATTTAGTAGCTTTTAGTCACTTTAGTAACTTTTTAACCAAACGCTATAACTAAAAGCTACTAAAAGGGCTTTAGTCATCTCTAGTAACTCTGGAGTTACTAAAAGTGACTAAACCGTTTAGTAGCTACTAAAGTTTAGTAGCTCGAACTAAACATCCCCTTACTATGATAGGTGTAGGTATAGGCAGCGTGTTTGCGCCAGATGTAGACGTGATCGCCGAGTCTAAGCTGCCACCGTTCTATACGGCTTGACAACACTGCCAACCCCCTGTCCATATATAACAAAAAATGTGCAAGCTCCTCCTAGTAGAGAAATTTACTGAATGAAAAAATGATATAACTTTCAATTTGGATGGGGTTACATATATGATGATCATATGTATTCAGATGACGTACGGATGTCATATATATTCCACTCTGCAAATGCCCACCAGGGGCGCATCAGAATCTTTCACTTAGAGAATACGTCATTATGAAAGTTGAATTCTGCATGATCTGTCCAAGTACTCTTTCCGTCCAGAAACAATGTAAATCTCACTTTTCGATGAGTTAATTAATCTTAAATTTGATCACTTATATAAAAATACTAATGTCTATGATATGTAATAAAACATCATTAGACTAATCATAAAATATATATTTTTATAATAAATCTATTTAGATATAAAAATGTTGATACCATTTTCTATAAAACCTCTAAACAATGAGGTTTATACTATTTTAATGGATAGAGTACATTTCACTGAGTTCTAGACTCCCTTCAACAAGTAGCGACATCGCCAGCCAAAATAATATTTTACTTGATGAATGAACAATGCAAATAAACAGCGCGTAACGTGAAGCGAAGCACTAGTCTCACACGTTTTGGACACCCTCTCTCACACGTATCCCGGCATCTTTGCTTGTGCTGTGCTTGCGCTCTCTCCTCCGTCTGCGGCGACATCGCCACCCTATTGGAGAGGCCCAATAACCTTATCATGTGCCGGACATGGCTGGCAAGAGGTTTCTTATGGTAGTCCTATGAAAACCTTTACCTTGATTTTTTATGCATTGGGTTATTATAAATGAATTTATTCTTAACGGCCTGAGCCTTTATGTATTGGGTTATCATAAGTGAATTTATTCTTAATCAATTGGTGGTATATGTTGTCGTTTTTTATGCCTTTTTTTGGCAGCCGTAATTCCCTTTATAAGCTTAGTAGTACATTTGGGTTGTGTTTGGTTCAGCTTTTGAAAAGTGCTTCTGCTGCCAAAAAGCAGAACACCAACCAAACGGGTAGAACTCAAGTAGCTGCTTCTTCGTAAGCACTACTTTTACATGTTACAATTTTACGCAATACATTGGACTCTGCTTTCCGCTCTTTGTCTTTCCAGATGGGTGAAAATAGAGAGATGTTTCATAGCTGTTTCAAGGAAGATAGAGAGGGTTAGGTTTGTTGGTTGTTTCAACCAAACAGGTTAGCTTGCTTGCGGTTGCAGTCGAGCCAAGAATATATGCAAATGCTTTGTTAACCCCTGATGTTGGAATAAAGAACCATTTTTAGGAGGCATCTACACACAACGCACTCATGCATTTTCTAGGATCCGGCCGAACCTAAGGCCTCTTGCTCCATGCATTGCCTTGTTACAACCACACACAGTGGCGGAGCCAGACAAGCTAGATAATGAGAGTTGAACTAGACAAAAGATGTTGGAATTATTTAAAAAAATGGATTGAATTGTAAGTTTTAGACTCATTTTTCTCTTATATAGGATTAAATTTTAGGCTTATATTTCTCTTAGAGATTCTACTAGAGCACCGGCCCTTCCTCCGCCCCAGACCCACACATACGCATGCATCACTTCTTGACTAGAAAGGTGATGCTTAAATTCTCTCTCTCTCTCTCCCTTTCTAGCTTCATTCGGAGACAACATTGTGGAGTGCCTAAGGCCATCGGCCCACCGACAAAGCCCAAATGATTCAAGCATGTATGTTTGAATTCGCAGACAACACCAATCAACACAACTAATTCAAGCATACACGTTTGAATTTGCAGACATCAATCAATCAACACAACTGAATGGAGAATGGGTGCTTCAAGTGGTCTTCAAAAGAGTTTGTTGCCTATATATGCTGTATATATAGTTAAACGAATCGGCTTTAGATTTACAAACAAGAAACAATAATACAATCCTCCTCATCTTCATTCTCTTTACAAAAGAAAGCACTAGTGATGATCATCTCCTCCGTGCTCACATGCATCGGCTCGCTGCAAGGTGTCACCATGTGCAAGACGATGAGAGAGTAGCATGTAGATCGGAACACATTACACACACATTCATCGCCATGTTTTATTTCAAACAAACAAAAAAATAATCCAAAAGACGTCGTCTCTAACAACGAGCACGGAGACAGTAGTGAAAAAATTCGTATCTCAACAATATCAACTGATGAGAATAACAGTAGGCACGAGATATGATGGATGAAACCAAGTTCAGCAACAGAGTAAGTAACCATGGACGGATCTGGGCCCGGGCTGGGGGCTGCAGCCCGGGCAAGCCCAAAACATGTCCACTACAGCTCTTCAGTTTAGCCCACAGGCAGTGACGGGCCGAGAAAAAAAATTTAGGAGGGGCTGAACAAAAGAATAGAGGTTTTTATCTTCTCTTAACCTTAGCCCTCTCCTACCTAATACATATATGCATAAAATTTTAAGAGAGGCTTAGGAAAACTCCACGTGCTCAGGGATGGGTAGGGGGCTGAAGCCCCCAAGCCCCACCACTGGCTACGTCCCCCGCCTACAGGAATAGCCCACCAAAGCACTCTAACCCCACCCGGACCTACGGTACATTCAAATGGCCATGAGCCACTCATTTAATTAGATTGGATGGTTGGCATTATCTATTACTTTCTAGGAGGTAATAGATCAGATGTATATTTATTTAATTTTTAATTTTATAAAATAGAATAAATAAGGAAAGTTTTAGATATAAAAATCTTTTTCCAGATCTAATTGATGTATGCGTGGTCTATTAGATATGGTAAATCATTTTTTAATAAAACTGTGGGGCAACAACCCCCCAGCAAGTAACAACGTAATACAACACAACAAAAAACAAAAAAAAACAAGGCCAGCTTACCTAACAGAGTATGCGGAAGCTAGACCGAAAAGACCACACCACTCACACTTACCTACTTACCTAACAGAGAAAGAACAAAAGGTGACTTCTTTTTTAAAATTTTCTTAATGTGAACAAAGCCGAACGTGAACAACTAGAAAAAAGCATGCACGTAACTATAACATTTTGTATGTGACAAATTTGTCAAAAAAAAGAGTATGGAACCCTATCATTATAGTTATTTTTATATAGAAGTCTTGTAACGTGAGTACGTGACAGGTGTATATGTCATTACAGCTATTTTTATATAAAAATCTTGTATATGATCGTGATTATGTCATTACAGGCGTTCAGCACTTGGGCTTGGGCGGACGGCGTTCGACCGGCGAGGCTTCGTTCTCGCCTGGCACGCAGCAGAGAAAGAGAAAGAGCGGAGCGTAGGAAGCAGAGGGACGGCGCGGCGGTGCGTGTCTGTCCTGGTGCCGAGCAGGAGGGCCTTGGGCGGCGGCCGGAGCGCGCTAGCACGTCGTCGTCGGCGCAGTGGCGCCATGCGTGTAGGACGGAGCAGCGCGGCGATGGCTGATGGCCTGCGCGACTTGCATGTGCTCATGGCCGGCAGTAGCGGCGGACCGAGGCGGGATGGGAGAGGGTTTCTTTTGGTGTGATAACTTATTTATTTATTTATTAAGGTGGCTGTGCACACCGTGTCATTGTTATCCTGTGTACACTGTACTGCTTCTCTAGAGCCTTATCCACGTGGAGGTTTACCCTGTTAAGCTCGATCGTGATCGTGCAGGGGCGAACACAAGCGGTAGGGCGGGGGCAAGCCCTCCTACCCATGCTTGGAGCAGTGGAACCTCCCCGCTGAACCCCTATGAATTTTTAGGCAAAGTTCTATAGTGTAGGAGGGCTGAGACTTAAGATCGAAAGCAGTAGTGTTGTTCAGCCCCAAATATTTTCTAGATCCGCCACCGGTATCAGCTACGATCTGATGTTTTTCTTTCACAACAAAAGCAGAATCGACGGCTTATAAGTCACGAAACAATCAAGGGAACCGGATGAAATGAGTTGAATTAAATCGGTCGCTGAATTAGAAATAAATAAAATATATAATAGGATTGTGCCATTACTCCAGCACTGTTTCGCTTGTTGGTTTCAAATAAATTAAACCAAACCAAATAGCAATGTTGTTTTTCTCTCACAACAAACCAACACCCGCCAAATTAAACCAGCCCGAGAAACCAACCTGTGTGTTTGCTTGTTCAGACCACGATAAGGATAGGGTACAGACCATGGTCTATTTATTTATGCAAAATTGAGTCGAGCATTTTCGGTTACGGTTATGTACGAAGCTGAGTGTTTATCATATTATCGTGAGTTGATGTATGTGCCGTCATGTTCCTTTGAGTTTGCAGCAAAATAGTAGTAGCATACAACGATCTTTATTTATATACTTCATCATAGATGCATGCATGCATACATGCATGTATACATTAAACGGGTTACAGACAACCAAACACGTACTATTAAACAACCCACTATATAAGGTGCCTGTTTTATTATCTACGTATATGTGATAAAGGTGTCTGTTTTATTGTCTATGTAGGAGTATATGATATGGCACGTACACATGGACCAAGCTAGTTCCCTGTTGTGGCTTTAAGATTGTACTTGTCCTTGAGGGGCGCCCCCAAGAAATCTCGCGGAGAAATCGGGGGCTCAGCAGCCCAGTGAGATTATTATAATATGGCAAAAGGGGCCAATACCGGCGCCAATTCCGGCACAACAGGGGCCAATTCCGGCAGTACGGCGACGAGCGCCAGCCCCGCCCCTACCGCCGCTATTGTCCTGAAGCTTGGCTGTGGAAGTGACCATTCGCGTGACCTGCGCCGTCGAGCTGGAGCTGGAGGTGGAGGTACGACTCTGGCCGTGCCGTTTCGGCGGTCCAAGTGTGGCCCATCGTCTGATGGCATAATAGCAGCCGCCGAAGTGTCCACTACCAAAGCGACTGGACCAAAATATTGGCGTCCTGTCTTGCAGTAAAAGGCAAAGTGGAAGCAGTTATTGTGCACAAGGAGGTAGACGCGGCCCTTGGTGAGCAGGTCTTTGGCGCGGCCCAAGACCGTCTCGGGGGTCTTCAGCATCCATGGAGCAGGTGAGCTGCCGAAGAGGCGCAAGAACGTCTCCCTTTTAGGAGTATTGCGCTCGTCATAGAACCACTTGGGCACAGCGTAGGCGAAGAGGCAAAGTTCACCCCTCTCAGGAAGCAGTCAAGGCAGCAGACGACGACGTCGTCTCGACGCTCAGCTCCACGGCACCTGGGGCAGCTTCCACCACCAGGTATGGAGGACAGATGGATGACCTTCTCGTCGCTTTCGTAGATTCCTGTACACTCAAATTACTGTAATATATATATATGTGTAGCCAAAGAGCCTAATTGATTGATTAATTGAATGGAAATGAAGTAATAATTAGCCAGCCTTAAAAAGATCGGTATCCCTCCATTCAGATATACTACTATAGACAGACAAAAAAATTAATTAATTAACTTAGAGGATGTTTGGTTTTTTAGTCGCTCTTAAAATTCATGTCACATCGAATGTTTAGATACTAATAAGGAGTATTAAATTTTATAGATTAATTACAAAACCAATTACATAGATGGAGACAAATTTTTAAGCCTAATTAATCCGTCGAAGAGCACATGTTTACTTGTAGCACCACGTTGTCAAATCGTGGACTAATTAGGCTTAAAAGATTCGTCTCAAAATTAGTCACAAGTTGAGCAATTAGTTTCGTAATTAGTCTATATTTAATACTCTATGCATGTGTCCAAACATTCAATGTGACAGGAATTTTAGAAGCTCCTGCAGAAACCAGACAGGTGCTTGACTAGGTCGCAGACCCAAAACCGACCAGCGAAACAACGCCAACATTCCTCGGAATTCGTGCACTCAGGACAAAACTAAACTAACCTCACCTCAGCATCCTAATAAATGTGCGCTTCTTCCATTAATAAAGTGCATGGGACTAACAAAAACGATTGGTCTTACCATGATGGGAATAGATACGTGTATGGTCACTTATTTTGCGCCAGACGTAGATATGATCGCCGGGTCTGAGCTGCCACCGTTCTATACGGCTTGATTCCACAGTCACCCTGTCCATAACTGAAGGCTACTAGGGAAAAATGTGCAAGCTACTACGGAAATTAAGTGAAGGCAAAATGATACAGCTTTCAATTCAGATGGAAGCTATATATATAGCCATCATGTTTATTCGGACGACGGATGGCATATATTTGGATTATGCAAATGCCGGCCAAGGCGCATCCGAATCTTTCGCTTAGAGAATACGCCATCACAAAAGTTGTATACAGTGATCGTATTTATTCGGGTGGCATATATTTGGATTCGGCGTGATCTGTCCGAGGCCGAGTTCGAGGCATATAGGCCTCCTCCAACAGCTAGCTAGCGACGTCGCCAGCCAAAATAATAATTTACTCATGAACGGTGCAAAAAGCAGCGTGCTAGCGCAAAGTGAAGCGCCAGTCTCGCACATTTCCATATGCGTCCCCCCTCCCTCCCTCTCCCTGTCTCCGCACATTTCCCGAAGCACTTGCATGCGTCTGTGCCTTCTCTCTGCTCCACGTCCGCTGGCGACATCGCCGCCCTATTGGAGGAGGACTTAATATTATCATGCCGTGGCCGACAGAAGGTTTCTTATGGCAGTCCTATTAAGGTCTAGCTTGGTCTTTATGCGTTGGTTTATCACAGATGAATTTATTCTCAGCGGCCTAGACATTTATGCATTGGGCTATCACAAATGAATTTATTCTCAGCAGCCTAGGCATTTATGCATGAGATTATCACAAATGAATTTATTCTTAGCTAATTGACAGTTGTACCACCATCCTTTATGCTTTTCTTTGGCAACCTTAATTCCCTTTATATGCTTGAATAGTACATTTAGCCTCCTTACACTCGGGCTAGGAATATATCCAAATGCTTTGGTGCCCCTTGATGGCAGAATAAAGAGCCATTTTTAGGAGGCATCTACACCCGACGCACTCATGCATTTCCTAGGATCTGAACCTAAGGCCTCTTGTTCCATGCATAGCCTTCTTACCATCACACATACACATTACTTCTTCACTAAATAAGGGATATTATTCTTTTGTATTCACCTCTGAACTTTGAATTATGCGTATTTATTTGGTATACTCTAAGCAACCTCAATGGAAAATGTCATCAACTACAAAAGTTATACATTTCATCGAGCTCTACAACTTCGGTACCAAGTAGTAAAAAATATGTGTTGGCGACCAAATTATAGGGACTTCACGTCCCAAGTCCCGAGAAAATCAGTTCTCTCCTTTGGCCTTCACGGATGGATGCATGCACCAAAATGAATCGGGTTCTCTTACCAAGAACCCGACTCTCTTCCATTGTGATAGTCCCGGAATTAATAGCTATCACCTAGAGAACTCATTTCAGCTTAGTATCACATCCATGGCCCGTTAAACTTCATTTGAAAAATAAGTCAAACATTGTTTGGCTGATTTGTTAATGAGAGAAAAACACTGCTCCTTCGGCTTGAAAAAAACAAGCTGAAAAAGATAGATTATAAGAGAAGTGAACAGGGCCGATATATGGATAAACAATGTACAATAACTTGCTACATACTAAAATAATATGGAAATACGAATTTGATACAAGCCTCATGGACTAATCGAATAGAAAAGAAAATCCTACGTAGCGGTAGCTAGGGCATCGGTCTCTTCCATGACCTTGACATCTCCTCCATATGCGTTCCCCAAGCGAAGCAATGCCACCTTCGGTCATACCACCCAACATCGGGGGTGGGCATTCAGTTTTTGTTCGGTTCCTCGGTTTTTGAAGAAATTCAGTTCCTAGAAAATAGGAACCGATCGGTTCTGAGAAATTCTAGGAACCGAGCATTTTGACTTTCGGTTATTTCGGTTTGGTTCCGGTTCTAACCCAACTTTTAAGCAGAGGTTAAGAGAACAAAAAATATGCAAGTTCTAAAGAAAATTTGGGCAACGCTACCTCTATTTTAGATAATAATAATTGATAAGAGAACAATAGCAATATAGTAACACAAATACATTAGTTTAAATATGAGACATCACACATAAACCAAACATAATCGTACAAAATGCATGTTAGCAAAGCACAATTCATGTATTTCAGTTGTTTCGTTATCTCGAAAGTAGGAACCGAACTTTCTTGGTTATTTCGGTTCCTTGATATTTGGAACCGAATTTTTTCGATTCTCGTTCTTTCGGTTTTGGTTCGGTTCTTTCCGTTCGGTTCTTCGGTTTCATTAATTATGCCCACCTACCCCATCGTGGTTGAACTCATGTTCCGAAGTCCGACCACCGCAAACCTAAGATTTGTCCCCAAGGATATGGGACAAATCCATGTCACCATAAGAAAAAATGTGCAAGCTACTAGAGAAAGTAATCAAGTCAAAATGATACAATTTTCAATTTGGATGGAAGTTATATATATATGGTGATCATATTTATTCAGATGACGGATGGCATATATTGGATTATGAAAATGCCGACCAAAGCCCAACCGAATCTTTCACTTAGAGAATACGCCATCATGAAAGTTGTATATACTCGGTGATCGCATATATTTGGATTTGGCATGATCTGTCCGAGGCTGAGTTTGAGACATAGGCCTCCTCCGACGGTTAACGACGCCGCCAAATTGTAATAATATTTTACTTACTCGTGAGTAGTACAAAAAGCAGCGCTTAAGCCAAGTGAAGCGCTAGTCTTGCATGTTTCCACACCCCCTCTCTCCACACATTTCTGAACCACCTGCTGTGTCTATGCCTTCTCTCTTTTCCACGCTCACGACGACGATGTTGCCACCCTACTGGAGGAGGCCTTAATGTTATCATGTGTTGGCCACGGCCGGCAAGAGGTTTCTTATGGCAGCCCTATTAAGGTCTAGCTTGATCTTTATGCATTGGATTATCACGGTGAATTTATTCTTAGCGATCTAGGCCTTTATGCATTGGGTTATCATAAACGAATTTATTCTCAGCGGCCTAGGCATTTATGCATTGGGTTATCACAAATGAATTTATTCTTACTAATTGACGGTTGTGTTGCCATTCCTTTATGCTTTTCTTTGGCAGCCTTAATTCCCTTTATGCATGTGCGCGGGGACGAGGGGACCGCGACGGACTCAACCGCGCATTCGTTGAAACAGTGATGGCCTACACCGACAAGAATGGCGGTGCACGCAAGCTCAAAGCTCGACCATGGTAGCTGCAGTAGGATGGGCTAGGAGCTCCGACAGGGTTTCTGTGTGACGAGCACAAAAGGGTAGAGGAGGCAGAGACGGACTCAGTAGCGCTCATTTCTAGGACAGAGCTGAAGCACAAAGCGAGGAACATCGACGGTAGTGGGAGCTCAGTGACTGGTAATGGTGTTGTCGAGCACTGGAGTAGAGATAAAGCAAAGAGGCACATATGTCAGGCTTGAGGATTGGAAAGGAGGGCAGCGCTGAAGGGGGATAAGCATGGGTTTGGGAAATTTCATGCTATGCTGATGGTTGACTCCACATATCATGTTAGATCAAAGGGTCAAACGAAGGGGTATGGACCTACGGTTTATTGACTCGAAAGTTGAATCTAAGGACCAAACGAAGAGAATGCGGATCTGCGGTGAACCACTTAAAAGTTTATGACCCCGAAATCAATTTTTAGAGTTGATAGACCTAATCGAAACCTCGCATGCATTTAACTCTAATATAAATATATATACGCTTAGGACTAATGAACCTATTATTAAGGTGCATAGTAGGACTAATAAAAACGATCGGTCTTAGGGTCTGCATTTGGTTAGCCTAGTAGCTACTAAATTTAGTAGCTTTTAGTCACTTTAGTAACTTTTTAACCAAACGCTATAACTAAAAGCTACTAAAAGGGCTTTAGTCATCTCTAGTAACTCTGGAGTTACTAAAAGTGACTAAACCGTTTAGTAGCTACTAAAGTTTAGTAGCTCGAACTAAACATCCCCTTACTATGATAGGTGTAGGTATAGGCAGCGTGTTTGCGCCAGATGTAGACGTGATCGCCGAGTCTAAGCTGCCACCGTTCTATACGGCTTGACAACACTGCCAACCCCCTGTCCATATATAACAAAAAATGTGCAAGCTCCTCCTAGTAGAAATTTACTGAATGAAAAAATGATATAACTTTCAATTTGGATGGGGTTACATATATGATGATCATATGTATTCGTAGATGACGTCTGGATGTCATATATATTCCACTCTTGCAAATGCCCACCAGTAGGCGATCAGAATCTTTCACTTAGAGAATACGTCATTATGAAAGTTGAATTCTGCATGATCTGTCCAAGTACTCTTTCCGTCCAGAAACAATGTAAATCTCACTTTTCGATGAGTTAATTAATCTTAAATTTGATCACTTATATAAAAATACTAATGTCTATGATATGTAATAAAACATCATTAGACTAATCATAAAATATATATTTTTATAATAAATCTATTTAGATATAAAAATGTTGATACCATTTTCTATAAAACCTCTAAACAATGAGGTTTATACTATTTTAATGGATAGAGTACATTTCACTGAGTTCTAGACTCCCTTCAACAAGTAGCGACATCGCCAGCCAAAATAATATTTTACTTGATGAATGAACAATGCAAATAAACAGCGCGTAACGTGAAGCGAAGCACTAGTCTCACACGTTTTCGGACACCCTCTCTCCACACGTATCCCGAAGTACTGCTTGTGCCTGTGCTGCGCTCTCTCCTCCCGTCTGCCGGCGACATCGCCACCCTATTGGAGAGGCCCAATAACCTTATCATGTGCCGGACATGGCTGGCAAGAGGTTTCTTATGGTAGTCCTATGAAAACCTTTACCTTGATTTTTTATGCATTGGGTTATTATAAATGAATTTATTCTTAACGGCCTGAGCCTTTATGTATTGGGTTATCATAAGTGAATTTATTCTTAATCAATTGGTGGTATATGTTGTCGTTTTTTATGCCTTTTTTTGGCAGCCGTAATTCCCTTTATAAGCTTAGTAGTACATTTGGGTTGTGTTTGGTTCAGCTTTTGAAAAGTGCTTCTGCTACCAAAAAGCAGAACACCAACCAAACGGGTAGAACCTCAAGTCGCTTCTTCGTAAGCGACTACTTTTGCATGTTACAATTTTCGCAATACATTGGACTCTGCTTTCCGCTCTTTGTCTTTCCAGATGGGTGAAAATAGAGAGATGTTTCATAGCTGTTTCAAGGAAGATAGAGAGGTTAGGTTTGTTGGTTGTTTCAACCAAACAGGTTAGCTTGCTTATGTTGCAGTTGCAGTCGAGCCAAGAATATATGCAAATGCTTTGTTAACCCCTGATGTTGGAATAAAGAACCATTTTTAGGAGGCATCTACACACAACGCACTCATGCATTTTCTAGGATCCGGCCGAACCTAAGGCCTCTTGCTCCATGCATTGCCTTGTTACAACCACACACAGTGGCGGAGCCAGACAAGCTAGATAATGAGAGTTGAACTAGACAAAAGATGTTGGAATTATTTAAAAAATGGATTGAATTGTAAGTTTTAGACTCATTTTTCTTATATAGGATTAAATTTTAGGCTTATATTTCTCTTAGAGATTCTACTAGAGCACCGGCCCTTCCTCCGCCCCAGACCCACACATACGCATGCATCACTTCTTGACTAGAAAGGTGATGCTTAAATTCTCTCTCTCTCTCTCCTTTCTAGCTTCATTCGGAGACAACATTGTGGAGTGCCTAAGGCCATCGGCCCACCGACAAAGCCCAAATGATTCAAGCATGTATGTTTGAATTCGCAGACAACACCAATCAACACAACTAATTCAAGCATACACGTTTGAATTTGCAGACATCAATCAATCAACACAACTGAATGGAGAATGGGTGCTTCAAGTGGTCTTCAAAAGAGTTTGTTGCCTATATATGCTGTATATATAGTTAAACGAATCGGCTTTAGATTTACAAACAAGAAACAATAATACAATCCTCCTCATCTTCATTCTCTTTACAAAAGAAAGCACTAGTGATGATCATCTCCTCCGTGCTCACATGCATCGGCTCGCTGCAAGGTGTCACCATGTGCAAGACGATGAGAGAGTAGCATGTAGATCGGAACACATTACACACACATTCATCGCCATGTTTTATTTCAAACAAACAAAAAATAATCCAAAAGACGTCGTCTCTAACAACGAGCACGGAGACAGTAGTGAAAAAATTCGTATCTCAACAATATCAACTGATGAGAATAACAGTAGGCACGAGATATGATGGATGAAACCAAGTTCAGCAACAGAGTAAGTAACCATGGACGGATCTGGGCCCCGGGCTGGGGGCTGCAGCCCGGGCAAGCCCAAAACATGTCCACTACAGCTCTTCAGTTTAGCCCACAGGCAGTGACGAAGCCAAAAAAAAAATTTAGGAGGGCTGAACAAAAGAATAGAGGTTTTTTATCTTCTCTTAACTCAAGCCTCTCTACCTAATAATACATATATCATAAAATTTTAAGAGAGGCTTAGGAAAACTCCACGTGCTCAGGATGGGTAGGGGGGCTGAAGCCCCCTAGCCCCACCAGGCTACGTCCCCGCCCAGGAATAGCCCACCAAAGCACTCTAACCCCACTCCGGGCCTACGGTACATTCAAATGGCCATGAGCCACTCATTTAATTAGATTGGATGGTTGGCATTATCTATTACTTTCTAGGAGGTAATAGATCAGATGTATATTTATTTAATTTTAATTTTATAAAATAGAATAAATAAGGAAAGTTTTAGATATAAAAATCTTTTTCCAGATCTAATTGATGTATGCGTGGTCTATTAGATATGGTAAATCATTTTTTAATAAAACTGTGGGGCAACAACCCCCAGCAAGTAACAACGTAATACAACACAACAAAAACAAAAAAAAAAACAAGGCCAGCTTACCTAACAGAGTATGCGGAAGCTAGACCGAAAAGACCACACCACTCACACTTACCTACTTACCTAACAGAGAAAGAACAAAAGGTGACTTCTTTTTTAAAATTTTCTTAATGTGAACAAAGCCGAACGTGAACAACTAGAAAAAAGCATGCACGTAACTATAACATTTTGTATGTGACAAATTTGTCAAAAAAAGTATGGAACCCTATCATTATAGTTATTTTTATATAGAAGTCTTGTAACGTGAGTACGTGACAGGTGTATATGTCATTACAGCTATTTTTTTATATAAAAATCTTGTATATGATCGTGATTATGTCATTACAGGCGTTCAGCACTTGGGCTTGGGCGGACGGCGTTCGACCGGCGAGGCTTCGTTCTCGCCTGGCACGCAGCAGAGAAAGAGAAAGAGCGGAGCGTAGGAAGCAGAGGGACGGCGCGGCGGTGCGTGTCTGTCCTGGTGCCGAGCAGGAGGGCCTTGGGCGGCGGCCGGAGCGCGCTAGCACGTCGTCGTCGGCGCAGTGGCGCCATGCGTGTAGGACGGAGCAGCGCGGCGATGGCTGATGGCCTGCGCGACTTGCATGTGCTCATGGCCGGCAGTAGCGGCGGACCGAGGCGGGATGGGAGAGGGTTTCTTTTGGTGTGATAACTTATTTATTTATTTATTAAGGTGGCTGTGCACACCGTGTCATTGTTATCCTGTGTACACTGTACTGCTTCTCTAGAGCCTTATCCACGTGGAGGTTTACCCTGTTAAACTCGATCGATCGTGACGAAGCGGGGCGAACACAACGGTAGGGCGGGGGCAAGCCCTCCTACCCATGCTTTGGAGCAATGGAACCTCCTGTTGAACCCCTATGAATTTTTAGGCAAAGTTCTATAGTGTAGGAGGGCTGAGACTTAAGATCGAAAGCGATAGTGTTGTTCAGCCCTCGAAATTTTTCTAGATCCGCTTTTGGTATCATTACGATCACGATGTTTTTCTTTCACAACAAAAACAGAATCGAATTTACTTATAAGTCACGAAACAATCAAGGGAACCGGATGAAATGAGTTGAATTAAATCGGTCGCTGAATTAGAAATAAATAAAATATATAATAGGATTGTGCCATTACATCACTGTCTGTTAAGCTTGTTGGTTTCAATAGCCCAAACCAAATGAAATAAGCAGTTGTTTTTCTCTCACAACAAACCAACACCCGCCAGCCTAAAACCAGCCCGAAACCAACCTGTGTGTTTGCTTGTTCAGACCACGATAAGGATAGGGTACAGACCATGGTCTATTTATTTATGCAAAATTGAGTCGAGCATTTTCGGTTACGGTTATGTACGAAGCTGAGTGTTTATCATATTATCGTGAGTTGATGTATGTGCCGTCATGTTCCTTTGAGTTTGCAGCAAAATAGTAGTAGCATACAACGATCTTTATTTATATACTTCATCATAGATGCATGCATGCATACATGCATGTATATACATTAAACGGGTTACAGACAACCAAACACGTACTATTAAACAACCCACTATATAAGGTGCCTGTTTTATTATCTACGTATATGTGATAAAGGTGTCTGTTTTATTGTCTATGTAGGAGTATATGATATGGCACGTACACATGGACCAAGCTAGTTCCCTGTTGTGGCTTTAAGATTGTACTTGTCCTTGAGGGCGCCCCAAGAAATCTCGCGGAGAAATCGGGGGCTCAGCAGCCCAGTGAGATTATTATAATATGGCAAAAGGGCCAATACCGGCGCCAATTCCGGCACAACAGGGGCCAATTCCGGCAGTACGGCGACGAGCGCCAGCCCCGCCCCTACCGCCGCTATTGTCCTGAAGCTTGGCTGTGGAAGTGACCATTCGCGTGACCTGCGCCGTCGAGCTGGAGCTGGAGGTGGAGGTACGACTCTGGCCGTGCCGTTTCGGCGGTCCAAGTGTGGCCCATCGTCTGATGGCATAATAGCAGCCGCCGAAGTGTCCACTACCAAAGCGACTGGACCAAAATATTGGCGTCCTGTCTTGCAGTAAAAGGCAAAGTGGAAGCAGTTATTGTGCACAAGGAGGTAGACGCGGCCCTTGGTGAGCAGGTCTTTGGCGCGGCCCAAGACCGTCTCGGGGGGGTCTTCAGCATCCATGGAGCAGGTGAGCTGCCGAAGAGGCGCAAGAACGTCTCCCTTTTTAGGAGTATTGCGCTCGTCATAGAACCACTTGGGCACAGCGTAGGCGAAGAGGCAAAGTTCACCCCCTCTCAGGAAGCAGTCAAGGCAGCAGACGACGACGTCGTCTCGACGCTCAGCTCCACGGCACCTGGGGCAGCTTCCACCACCAGGTATGGAGGACAGATGGATGACCTTCTCGTCGCTTTCGTAGATTCCTGTACACTCAAATTACTGTAATATATATATATGTAGCCAAAGAGCCTAATTGATTGATTAATTGAATGGAAATGAAGTAATAATTAGCCAGCCTTAAAAAGATCGGTATCCCTCCATTCAGATATACTACTATAGACAGACAAAAAGAATTAATTAACTTAGAGGATGTTTGGTTTTTTAGTCGCTCTTAAAATTCATGTCACATCGAATGTTTAGATACTAATAAGGAGTATTAAATTTTATAGATTAATTACAAAACCAATTACATAGATGGAGACAAATTTTTTAAGCCTAATTAATCCGTCAGTAGCACATGTTTACTGTAGCACCACGTTGTCAAATCGTGGACTAATTAGGCTTAAAAGATTCGTCTCGTAAATTAGTCACAAGTTGAGCAATTAGTTTCGTAATTAGTCTATATTTAATACTCTATGCATGTGTCCAAACATTCAATGTGACAGGAATTTTAGAAGCTCCTGCAGAAACCAGACAGGTGCTTGACTAGGTCGCAGACCCAAAACCGACCAGCGAAACAACGCCAACATTCCTCGGAATTCGTGCACTCAGGACAAAACTAAACTAACCTCACCTCAGCATCCTAATAAATGTGCGCTTCTTCCATTAATAAAGTGCATGGGACTAACAAAAACGATTGGTCTTACCATGATGGGAATAGATACGTGTATGGTCACTTATTTTGCGCCAGACGTAGATATGATCGCCGGGTCTGAGCTGCCACCGTTCTATACGGCTTGATTCCACAGTCACCCTGTCCATAACTGAAGGCTACTAGGGAAAAATGTGCAAGCTACTACGGAAATTAAGTGAAGGCAAAATGATACAGCTTTCAATTCAGATGGAAGCTATATATATAGCCATCATGTTTATTCGGACGACGGATGGCATATATTTGGATTATGCAAATGCCGGCCAAGGCGCATCCGAATCTTTCGCTTAGAGAATACGCCATCACAAAAGTTGTATACAGTGATCGTATTTATTCGGGTGGCATATATTTGGATTCGGCGTGATCTGTCCGAGGCCGAGTTCGAGGCATATAGGCCTCCTCCAACAGCTAGCTAGCGACGTCGCCAGCCAAAATAATAATTTACTCATGAACGGTGCAAAAAGCAGCGTGCTAGCGCAAAGTGAAGCGCCAGTCTCGCACATTTCCATATGCGTCCCCCCTCCCTCCCTCTCCCTGTCTCCGCACATTTCCCGAAGCACTTGCATGCGTCTGTGCCTGCTTCTCTCTCTCCTCCCGTCCGGCGGGCGACATCGCCGCCCTATTGGAGGAGGACTTAATATTATCATGCCGTGGCCGACGTGAAAGGTTTCTTATGGCAGTCCTATTAAGGTCTAGCTTGGTCTTTATCGTTGGTTTATCACAGATGAATTTATTCTCAATGCCCTAGACATTTATGCATTGGGCTATCACAAATGAATTTATTCTCAAAGAGCCTAGGCATTTATGCATGAGATTATCACAAATGAATTTATTCTTAGCTAATTGACAGTTGTACCACCATCCTTTATGCTTTTCTTTGGCAACCTTAATTCCCTTTATATGCTTGAATAGTACATTTAGCCTCCTTACACTCGGCTAGGAATATATCCAAATGCTTTGGTGCCCCTTGATGGCGTAGAATAAAGAGCCATTTTAGGAGGCATCTACACCCGACGCACTCATGCATTTCCTAGGATCTGAACCTAAGGCCTCTTGTTCCATGCATAGCCTTCTTACCATCACACATACACATTACTTCTTCACTAAATAAGGGATATTATTCTTTTGTATTCACCTCTGAACTTTGAATTGCGTATTTATTTGGTATACTCTAAGCAACCTCAATGGAAAATGTCATCAACTACAAAAGTTATACATTTCATCGAGCTCTACAACTTCGGTACCAAGTAGTAAAAAATATGTGTTGGCGACCAAATTATAGGGACTTCACGTCCCAAGTCCCGAGAAAATCAGTTCTCTCCTTTGGCCTTCACGGATGGATGCATGCACCAAAATGAATCGGGTTCTCTTACCAAGAACCCGACTCTCTGTTCCATTGTGATAGTCCCAGAATTAATAGCTATCACCTAGAGAACTCATTTCAGCTTAGTATCACATCCATGGCCCCGTTCGCTTCGCTGAAAAAATAAGTCGAAACATTGTTTCGGCTGATTTGTTGTGAGAGAAAAACACTGTTCCGGCTGAAAAAACAAGCTGAAAAAGATAGATTATAAGAGAAGTGAACAGGGCCGATATATGGATAAACAATGTACAATAACTTGCTACATACTAAAATAATATGGAAATACGAATTTGATACAAGCCTCATGGACTAATCGAATAGAAAAGAAAATCCTACGTAGCGGTAGCTAGGGCATCGGGTCTCTTCCATGACCTTGACATCTCCTCCATATGCGTTCCCAAGTGAAGCAATGCCACCTTCGGTCATACCACCCAACATCAGGGGTGGGCATTCAGTTTTTGGTTCGGTTCCTCGGTTTTTGAAGAAATTTAGTTCCTAGAAAATAGGAACCGATCGGTTCTGAGAAATTCTAGGAACCGAGCATTTTGACTTTCGGTTATTTCGGTTTGGTTCCGGTTCTAACCCAACTTTTAAGCAGAGGTTAAGAGAACAAAAAAATATGCAAGTTCTAAAGAAAATTTGGGCAACGCTACCTCTATTTTAGATAATAATAATTGATAAGAGAACAATAGCAATATAGTAACACAAATACATTAGTTTAAATATGAGACATCACACATAAACCAAACATAATCGTACAAAATGCATGTTAGCAAAGCACAATTCATGTATTTCAGTTGTTTCGGTTATCTGAAAGTAGGAACCGAACTTTCTTCGGTTATTTCGGTTCCTTGATATTTGGAACCGAATTTTTTCGATTCTGGTTCTTTCGGTTTTGGTTCTGGTTCTTTCCGTTCGGTTCTTCGGTTTCAGTTAATTATGCCCACCCCTACCCATCGTGGTTGAACTCATGTTCCGAGTCTGACCCTGCAAACCTAAGATTTGTCCCCAAGGATATGGGACAAATCCATGTCACCATAAGAAAAAATGTGCAAGCTACTAGAGAAAGTAACTGAAGTCAAAATGATACAATTTTCAATTTGGATGGAAGTTATATATATATGGTGATCATATTTATTCAGATGACGGATGGCATATATTGGATTATGAAAATGCCGACCAAAGCCCAACCGAATCTTTCACTTAGAGAATACGCCATCATGAAAGTTGTATATACTCGAGTGATCGTATATATTTGGATTTGGCATGATCTGTCCGAGGCTGAGTTTGAGACATAGGCCTCCTCACGCCCAGTTAACGACGCCGCCAATTTGTAATAATATTTTACTCGTGAGTAGTACAAAAAGCAATGGCTAGCTTCAAGTGAAGCACTAGTCTTGCATGTTTCCACACACCCCTCTCTCACACATTTCTGAACCACCACCTTGTGTCTATGCCTTCTCTCTTTTCCACGCTTCACGACGATGTTGCCACCCCTCTTTGGAGGAGGCCTTAATGTTATCATGTGTTGGCCACGGCCGGCAAGAGGTTTCTTATGGCAGCCCTATTAAGGTCTAGCTTGATCTTTATGCATTGGATTATCACGGTGAATTTATTCTTAGCGATCTAGGCCTTTATGCATTGGGTTATCATAAACGAATTTATTCTCATTGCCCTAGGCATTTATGCATTGGGTTATCACAAATGAATTTATTCTTACTAATTGACGGTTGTGTTGCCATTCCTTTATGCTTTTCTTTGGCAGCCTTAATTCCCTTTATGCATGTCTTGTGGGGACGAGGGACATGACGGACTCAACCAGCATTCGTTGAAATAAGATGGCCTACACCGACAAGAATGGCGGTGCACGCAAGCTCAAAGCTCGACCATGGTAGCTGCAGAGGGATGGGCTAGGAGCTCTCGACAGGTTTCGTGTGTGACGAGCACAAAAGGGTAGAGGAGGCAGAGAGACGGACTCGATGGCGCTCATTTCTAGGACAGAGCTGAAGCACAAAGCGAGGAACATCGACGGTAGTGGGAGCTCAGTGACTAGTAATGGTGTTGTCGAGCACTGGAGTAGAGATAAAGCAAAGAGGCACATATGTCAGGCTTGAGGATTGGAAAGGAGGGCAGCGCTGAAGGGGGATAAGCATGGGTTTGGGAAATTTCATGCTATGCTGATGGTTGACTCCACATATCATGTTAGATCAAAGGGTCAAACGAAGGGGTATGGACCTACGGTTTATTGACTCGAAAGTTGAATCTAAGGACCAAACGAAGGGGTACGGATCTGCGGTGAACCACTTAAAAAGTTTATGGACCCCGAAATCAACTTTTAGAGTTGATAGACCTAATCGAAACCTCGCATGCATTTAACTCTAATATAAATATATGTACGCTTAGGACTAATGAACCTATTATTAAGGTGCATAGTAGGACTAATAAAAACGACTGGTCTTAGGGTCTGTTTGGTTCGCCTAGTAGCTACTAAATTTAGTAGCTTTTAGTCACTTTAGTAACTTTTTAACCAAACGCTATAACTAAAAGCTACTAAAAGGGCTTTAGTCATCTCTAGTAACTCTGGAGTTACTAAAAGTGACTAAACCGTTTAGTAGCTACTAAAGTTTAGTAGCTCGAACTAAACATCCCCTTACTATGATAGGTGTAGGTATAGGCAGCGTGTTTGCTTCAGATGTAGACGTGATCGCCGAGTCTAAGCTGCCACCGTTCTATACGGCTTGACAACACTGCCAACCCCCTGTCCATATATAACAAAAAATGTGCAAGCTCCTCCTAGTAGAGAAATTTACTGAATGAAAAAATGATATAACTTTCAATTTGGATGGGGTTACATATATGATGATCATATGTATTCAGATGACGTACGGATGTCATATATATTCCACTCTGCAAATGCCCACCAGGGGCGCATCAGAATCTTTCACTTAGAGAATACGTCATTATGAAAGTTGAATTCTGCATGATCTGTCCAAGTACTCTTTCCGTCCAGAAACAATGTAAATCTCACTTTTTGATGAGTTAATTAATCTTAAATTTGATCACTTATATAAAAATACTAATGTCTATGATATGTAATAAAACATCATTAGACTAATCATAAAATATATATTTTTATAATAAATCTATTTAGATATAAAAATGTTGATACCATTTTCTATAAAACCTCTAAACAATGAGGTTTATACTATTTTAATGGATAGAGTACATTTCACTGAGTTCTAGACTCCCTTCAACAAGTAGCGACATCGCCAGCCAAAATAATATTTTACTTGATGAATGAACAATGCAAATAAACAGCGCGTAACGTGAAGCGAAGCACTAGTCTCACACGTTTTCGGACACCCTCTCTCCACACGTATCCCGAAGTACTGCTTGTGCCTGTGCTGCGCTCTCTCCTCCCGTCTGCCGGCGACATCGCCACCCTATTGGAGAGGCCCAATAACCTTATCATGTGCCGGACATGGCTGGCAAGAGGTTTCTTATGGTAGTCCTATGAAAACCTTTACCTTGATTTTTTATGCATTGGGTTATTATAAATGAATTTATTCTTAACGGCCTGAGCCTTTATGTATTGGGTTATCATAAGTGAATTTATTCTTAATCAATTGGTGGTATATGTTGTCGTTTTTTATGCCTTTTTTTGGCAGCCGTAATTCCCTTTATAAGCTTAGTAGTACATTTGGGTTGTGTTTGGTTCAGCTTTTGAAAAGTGCTTCTGCTACCAAA